TTTTTTTTTTTTTTTTTTTTGGAAATATACTGTGACCTCTTCAATCGATCGAGGGTCACGAGTTAACCTGCTGACGGCAATAGGGGTACTACGTTGGATCGTCTATCGATGAAAATGACGTGTACGTTCTTTACCCGAAATAGGAAGTTTCCTGGCGTTCGGCACAGAATCACCGGACCGAGGATAATTGAGTATCGATGGAGATCGTAACGGTTAGATTGGCTTTTACTCGTGTTACACTGGCAACGTTCTCGGCAATCTCTCGCAACGTATGTGCTAGGGACAAATCCCACTAGGAACCGAACCGTGGCACGGGCAACCGATGATTTTGAGGTATTAATAAACCTTTTTCACAATTTTCCCTTCATTTACTTTTGACATTCCTGATTATCCACTTGTCGGGTTAATCGACGATCTCATTCGTCGGGTCTGTAATATTGCAAATTGCACGTGATTGGTACTTAGATACTAGGTCGAGATGATGATCAAAGAGTATGATGGAAGAAGAGAAGGTAGAATTCTCTTAAGAAAGATATGCACGAATAAATGTATGGGTAGAGATATGGAGTTGATTTGCAGAGAAGCGAGAGAGCAATGTCTAATTTCAGGCCGGGACTAAGTAGACGGCCGTTAATTACAAGGAAGTAGAAGAGCAAGAAGCAAGGAGACGGACGAAATGAGTAGACGGTGGACGGGATGTCTGGAGGCCACCGGAGTCATCAAGAAAATAATGACGACAGATTGATGACGTTCTAAATTCCAGAACGACTTTAAATCGACCCGATTGCTGGATCAATATAAATTTGCTCCCGACGGTCTGTCTCGCGATTCGAGGGTACTTCAGAGTCGTTAAAGACATTTTGAAAAAAAAAAAATTTCAAAACCACAATCAGAGCAAAATCACTGCTCGGGGAGACTGATACTTGGAAAAATTCATTTTGCATCCAACAATCATCCGATACACGTAATCATCAGCGATATCGTAAACTATACGAGAAAACAGCTTTAGACGCAATAAGAAGCTTCGTGCTGGTTGAGCTTACGAGGAAAAAGCAGCAATTATAATAGCCACGGAGTCGGTAAGATGTCGATCTCATAAAAGAGAATATCGTTAACAAGTAGAAACTTTGTGCTTCGAGTGTAGCCGCAAGAATAAACGAGAGCAAAAAAGGAGCACATAGACTCTCAAGGAAGTTTCTATAGTCACCGTGAAAAGTTTAACGCTTAACGACGATCATGACGAAGGGGCAAAACGGAGAGAGGGGTCGCGACTGGTTTTTTCAAGGTTACCCCGTATAAAGAAAAATAGCAAGTCTGGAAAGAAAGGTACGAGCGATGTACAGAGTAAAGCTCTATATTTATACGGAGAGGAACAAAAGCCTAAGGCAGTAGAGGAGTATACCTAAATGGCCTAGGAAAGTTAAAAAAAAAAAAAAAAAAAAAAAA